TATCTCGCTTGGGTGGTTTTTGACGTTTTAATGTGTTGGTGAGAGAAATTTGAGATCATTGGGAAAACCCAACCATCATGTTTTTACCCTAGTTTTGGTTCTTTCGGTAAAGTCATCACGTAGAATGGAAATAATAAAAAAAAAATTTCCCGTAAAAACAAAGTTTTTGGTTCTTTATGTTAAGTTCGCTTGCTTTCTTGCTTACGACCGTGCAAATCTTTCGCTCGTTTTTTAACCCACTTCCCGTGATCCAATCGAGCTGATATTTTGCTACACAGACTCGTTGTGCGAGACAATTAATGTTCGCGAAAATTTTTTTCAAAAATTGTACACTGTTTAGAGAATTTTGTAAAAATATTTAATTACCAATTGCTTAATGGTGGCAGGCAATCATCTGACCCATAGGTGGCAGCCATCTCAAGCCAGAGGACGAGAGGACTCTAGCCGCCACGCATATAAAGGATTTAGAGTGAAAAACTTTGTTTTTACGGGTTATACTTATTTGACCCTTCTATCTGGCAATAAAACTGACACCTTTTTACAAGGAGTCGTGTTTGCATAGACCACAATACCTGCAGTCGTAATGCAAACAAAAAACATAACTCTGATAATGTATGTGCACTGTCCTTGAAGTTGATTGGTCCACACCCGAGACAGCTTTTCTTAGAGCCTAGTCTCACATGGTCCTTGAAGTTGATTGGTCCACACCCGAGACAGCTTTCCTTAGAGCCTAGTCTCACATGGTCCTTGAAGTTGATTGGTCCACACCCGAGACAGCTTTCCTTAGAGCCTAGTCTCACATGGTCCTTGAAGTTGATTGGTCCACACCCGAGACAGCTTTCCTTAGAGCCTAGTCTCACATGGTCCTTGAAGTTGATTGGTCCACACCCGAGACAGCTTTCCTTAGAGCCTAGTCTCACATGGTGTTGGACCAGATGACGCCAAAAGGCGCACAACTCAAAGACAATGCACCATCAGAGTATGAGAGCTCGGGGTGAAGCATTTACACCATTGGAACCTCATTTGCCAGTAAAAATATGATAATTGTTTTTTACCCTTCTATCTGGCAACAAAACTGACACCTTTTTTTTACAAGGAGTCATGTTTGCATAGACCACAATACCTGAGGTCATAATGCAAACAAAAAACACAACTCTGATAATGTATGCGCACTGTCCTTGAAGTTGATTGGTCCACACCCGAGACAGCTTTCCTTAGAGCCTAGTCTCCAAGCATGGTAGTGTTCAGAAGAACAGGTCTGTTGGAAAGACAGCGTCTGAATGAGCACCACCAAACTTGGCAGCGTATATACTTAAATATATACTTAAATATACGCTGCCAAGCTTGGTGGTGTTCAGAAGAACAGGCCTGTCGGAAAGACAGCGTCTGAATGAGCACCACCAGGCTTGGCAGCGTATATACTTAAATATATACTTAAATATACGCTGCCAAGCTTGGTGGTGTTCAGAAGAACAGGTCTGTCGCAAAGACAGCGTCTGAATGAGCACCACCAAGCTTGGCAGCGTATATACTTAAATATATACTTAAATATACGCTGCCAAGCTTGGTGGTGCTCAGAAGAACAGATCTGTCGCAAAGACAGCGTCTGAATGAGCACCACCAAGCTTGGCAGCGTATATACTTATATATATACTTAAATATACGCTGCCAAGCTTGGTGGTGTTCAGAAGAACAGGTCTGTCGCAAAGACAGCGTCTGAATGAGCACCACCAGGCTTGGCAGCGTATATACTTAAATATATACTTAAATATATACTTAAATATACGCTGCCAAGCTTGGTGGTGTTCAGAAGAACAGGTCTGTCGCAAAGACAGCGTCTGAATGAGCACCACCAAGCTTGGCAGCGTATATACTTAAATATATACTTAAATATACGCTGCCAAGCTTGGTGGTGTTCAGAAGAACAGGTCTGTCGGAAAGACAGCGTCTGAATGAGCACCACCAAGCTTGGCAGCGTATATACTTAAATATATACTTAAATATACGCTGCCAAGCTTGGTGGTGTTCAGAAGAACAGGTCTGTCGCAAAGACAGCGTCTGAATGAGCACCACCAAGCTTGGCAGCGTATATACTTAAATATATACTTAAATATACGCTGCCAAGCTTGGTGGTGTTCAGAAGAACAGGGCTGTCGCAAAGACAGCGTCTGAATGAGCACCACCAAGCTTGGCAGCGTATATACTTAAATATATACTTAAATATACGCTGCCAAGCTTGGTGGTGTTCAGAAGAACAGGTCTGTCGCAAAGACAGCGTCTGAATGAGCACCACCAAGCTTGGCAGCGTATATACTTAAATATATACTTAAATATACGCTGCCAAGCTTGGTGGTGTTCAGAAGAACAGGTCTGTCAGAAAGACAGCGTCTGAATGAGCACCACCAAGCTTGGCAGCGTATATACTTAAATATATACTTAAATATACGCTGCCAAGCTTGGTGGTGTTCAGAAGAACAGGTCTGTCGGAAAGACAGCGTCTGAATGAGCACCACCAAGCTTGGCAGCGTATATACTTAAATATATACTTAAATATACGCTGCCAAGCTTGGTGGTGTTCAGAAGAACAGGTCTGTCGCAAAGACAGCGTCTGAATGAGCACCACCAAGCTTGGCAGCGTATATACTTAAATATATACTTAAATATACGCTGCCAAGCTTGGTGGTGTTCAGAAGAACAGGTCTGTCGGAAAGACAGCGTCTGAATGAGCACCACCAAGCTTGGCAGCGTATATACTTAAATATATACTTAAATATACGCTGCCAAGCTTGGTGGTGTTCAGAAGAACAGGTCTGTCGCAAAGACAGCGTCTGAATGAGCACCACCAAGCTTGGCAGCGTATATACTTAAATATATACTTAAATATACGCTGCCAAGCTTGGTGGTGTTCAGAAGAACAGGTCTGTCGCAAAGACAGCGTCTGAATGAGCACCACCAAGCTTGGCAGCGTATATACTTAAATATATACTTAAATATACGCTGCCAAGCTTGGTGGTGTTCAGAAGAACAGGTCTGTCGGAAAGACAGCGTCTGAATGAGCACCACCAAGCTTGGCAGCGTATATACTTAAATATATACTTAAATATACGCTGCCAAGCTTGGTGGTGTTCAGAAGAACAGGTCTGTCGGAAAGACAGCGTCTGAATGAGCACCACCAAGCTTGGCAGCGTATATACTTAAATATATACTTAAATATACGCTGCCAAGCTTGGTGGTGTTCAGAAGAACAGGTCTGTCGGAAAGACAGCGTCTGAATGAGCACCACCAAGCTTGGCAGCGTATATACTTAAATATATACTTAAATATACGCTGCCAAGCTTGGTGGTGTTCAGAAGAACAGGTCTGTCGGAAAGACAGCGTCTGAATGAGCACCACCAAGCTTGGCAGCGTATATACTTAAATATATACTTAAATATACGCTGCCAAGCTTGGTGGTGTTCAGAAGAACAGGTCTGTCGGCAAAGACAGCGTCTGAATGAGCACCACCAAGCTTGGCAGCGTATATACTTAAATATATACTTAAATATACGCTGCCAAGCTTGGTGGTGTTCAGAAGAACAGGTCTGTCGGAAAGACAGCGTCTGAATGAGCACCACCAAGCTTGGCAGCGTATATACTTAAATATATACTTAAATATACGCTGCCAAGCTTGGTGGTGTTCAGAAGAACAGGTCTGTCGGAAAGACAGCGTCTGAATGAGCACCACCAAGCTTGGCAGCGTATATACTTAAATATATACTTAAATATACGCTGCCAAGCTTGGTGGTGTTCAGAAGAACAGGTCTGTCGGAAAGACAGCGTCTGAATGAGCACCACCAAGCTTGGCAGCGTATATACTTACATATATACTTAAATATACGCTGCCAAGCTTGGTGGTGTTCAGAAGAACAGGTCTGTCGGAAAGACAGCGTCTGAATGAGCACCACCAAGCTTGGCAGCGTATATACTTACATATATACTTAAATATACGCTGCCAAGCTTGGTGGTGTTCAGAAGAACAGGTCTGTCGGAAAGACAGCGTCTGAATGAGCACCATCAAGCTTGGCAGCGTATATTTATTCCTTTGTCAAGGCGCCCTTCCTCCCCTAAACCAGCAGCTTAAATATAGTAGTGCCGTGTGCAATTACAGTGTGCTGTGACGTCTCGTACAGTGGCTTGTGTACAGTATTGGCGTGTACAGTAACCACTGTGCCGTCCGCTTTCTGTCTTTCAGAAGCCCTCCGCTGCCACCAAATCTACAAACTCCTGTACCACCTCTACCGCTGAACTCCAGAGACCAAGAGAGAGACACGGGGAGAGAGAGACACGGGGAGAGAGAGAGACACGGGGAGAGAGAGACACGGGGAGAGAGAGACAGGGGGAGAGAGAGAGACACGGGGAGAGAGAGACACGGGGAGAGAGAGACACGGAGAGAGAGAGACACGGGGAGAGAGAGACACGGAGAAAGAGACACGGGGAGAGAGACACACACACAGAGAGACACACACAGAGACACACACAGAGAGAGACACACACACAGACACACACAGAGAGAGACACACACACAGAGCGTGAGAGACACACACAGAGACACATAGAAAGACTCACACAGAGACACACACAGAGACACACACACAGAGACACACACACAGACACACACACAGAGACACACACACACACAGACACACACACAAAGCGCGAGAGACAGAGACACACACAGAGAGAGACACACACACAGACACACACAGAGAGAGACACACACACAGAGCGTGAGAGACACACACAGAGACACACAGAAAGACTCACACAGAGACACACACACAGAGACACACACACAGAGACACACACACAGACACACACACAGAGACACACACACACACACAGACACACACACAGAGACACACACACAGAGACACACACACAGACACACACACAGAGACACACACACACACACAGACACACACACAAAGCGCGAGAGACAGAGAGCTGCGTGTGAAGGAGAGCGAGAGAGCGAGCGAGCTACGCACGAAAGAAGGGGCCGTCCCGCCCTTCGACGATGAGGCCTCACCACGCCAGGGGCCTCCTCATCCTCGCCTCGCTCGCGTCCGTCACCTTCCTGCTCTCCTACCACTTCACGCTGAGCCACAAGGAGCGGCAGCGGCAGACGCAGCGGCAACACCGTCTCAACGCGTCGCTCCAAACTCCCCTCCGCTCTCCGTCGAGACCTCGGCCTCCCGGAGGCTGTTGCCGGTCCGCGGGTCGGCGGACGCCCCCCCCTACCGGTAGCGGCGGTGGCGGTGGCGGCGGCGGCTGCCCCCCCGCGCAGACGGAGGCCTTTGAGCCGGTGCCGGGGGCCCCGGTCCTCGTGGTGTCGGCCTACTGGGATGACCGGGAGACGCCGGGAGGAGCGGCACGGTTCCTTGCGGTAGTGGAGCGCGGCAAAGTCGGACGACTCCGCTGCCTGGTGTGCTGTCCCGGTGAGTGGATGAGTGGGTGGGTGGGTGGGTGAGTGGGTGGGTGGGTGGGTGAGTGGGTGGGTGGGTGGGTGAGTGAGTGAGTGAGTGAGTGGGTGGGTGGGTGGGTGAGTGAGTGAGTGAGTGGGTGAGTGAGTGAGTGAATGAGTGGGTGAGTGAGTGGGTGAGTAGGTGAGTGAATGAGTGGGTGAGTGAGTGGGTGAGTAGGTGAGTGAGTGAGTGAGTGGGTGGGTGAATGAGTGGGTGAGTGGGTGAGTGAGTGAGTGAGTGCGTGAGTGAGTGGGTGGGTGAGTGAGTGATTGAGTGGGTGAGTGAGTTAGTGAGTGGATGAGTGAGTGCGTGAATGAGTGGGTGAGTGAGTGGGTGAGTAGGTGAGTGAATGAGTGGGTGAGTGAGTGATTGAGTGGCTGATTGAGTGGGTGAGTGAGTGGGTGAGTGAGTGAGTGGGTAGGTGAGTGGGTGAGTGGGTGATTGAGTGGGTGATTGAGTGCGTGAGTGAGTGAGTGGGTGAGTGACTGAGTGGCTGATTGAGTGGGATGAGTGAGTGCGTGAGTGGGTGGGTGAGTGAGTGAATGAGTGATTGAGTGGCTGATTGAGTGGCTGATTGAGTAAGTGAGTGAGTGAGTTAATACCACTGCCGGTGCCTCCGCAGGTGCAGGAGGAGGAGAGGATTCGGCCTTCGTCCTGCCGGTACCGGCCAGGATCTCGATCCACGAGAGCCACTTTGGCTTCCCGTGGGGCCTCGCCTTCGTGAGCTGCGATCTTCCCGTCGACGGCGTCGTCCCCGGAGATCGCCCCCGGGGGGGGGCGACGTGCGGCCACGTGCACTACGCAGCCCTACAGGCTGCGGACGGGGAGGCGGGAGAGGGTGGAGAGGGGGGAGAGGGCGGAGAGGGGGTCACCTTCACACAGATCGGAAACTTGCCCTGGGCAACGCCGGGTCTAGAGTCTGAGCCTGGGCCTGGCCTAGACCCTGGGCCTGGGCCTGGTCTAGATCCTGGGCCTAGTCTAGACCCTCATCCTGGGCCTGGTCTAGACCCTGGGCCTGGTCTAGACCCTGGGCCTGGTCAAGACCCTGGGCCTGGTCTAGAACCTCATCCTGGGCCTGGCCTAGACCCTGGGCCTGGTCTAGACCCTCATCCTGGGCCTGGTCTAAACCCTCAGCCCGTGCCGGGCCCCGCCGTCCCCGGCTACCGCCGCCGTAGCCGCCGCTACCGCCACGACTTCTCCGTGTGCATCTCGACCCTGTGGGGCGGCTACAACAACGTGCTGCAGTTCGCGCAGACGCTGGAGATGTACCGGCTGCTGGGCGCCACGCTCGTCACCGTCTACAGCAGCGGCGCGGGGCCCGGCCCGCAGCTGGCGGCCCTCCTAGCCGTCTACGAGTCCCGCGGCTTCGTGGAGATGGTGCCGTGGCCAGTCGGGCGCCACCTGAAGCCCTCCACCGGCTGGCACTACCCGAAGCACCCGGGGCAGCTGCACTACCACGGGCAGGTGGCGGCGCTCAACGACTGCGTCCACCGGAGGTCGGGCGACTCGCGCTACGTTGTCCTCAACGACGCGGACGAGGTGATCGTGCCGAGCGACGACGACGACGACGGCGAGGGCTGCGTCGACTGGGCCTGCTTGCTGGGCCGCGTTCGGAGCGAGCGCCACAGCGGCAAATCCGCTGCCGCCGGAGCGAACGGCGGCGACGGATCCGCCTCCGATGGGTCTCCAAACGACGGCGACGACTTCGACTCCGACACCTCCGTGGCCGTCTACGTGTTCGAGAGCCACGTCTTCCCGTACACTGTGGCCGACGGCCCCAGCGCCTACCCTGGCTGGGGCTCCTCAAACTCCTCCTCATCATCCTCCTCATCCTCCCACGCCGTGCCCGGCTGGGACATCACCCGCATGGCGTGGCGTGAGCCCAGCCTCCCGGCGGGTTCCTTTAACCCCACCAAGCTCGTCGTTGACCCGCGCGCCGTCACCAGCACGTCGGTCCACGCCGCCCTCCATCTGCGAGGGGGCGGCGGTGCCACGGTGGAGGTCCCGCCGCGCCTGGCCAGGATGCACCACTACCGCACGCCGGAGCAGCCCCGGTTGCCCCGCGCGGCCCTCGTGCCAGACGCGTCGTTGAGGAGGTGCGCCGCCGGACGCCTCGTGGGCAACGTCAACGCGGCGCTGAGGCTCGCAGGGCTGCTGACGTGAAAGGTGGTGAGGGTGGTGGTGGTGGTGATGGTGAGGGTGGTGAGGGTGGGGGTGGTGAGGGTGGTGGTGGTGATGGTGAGGGTGGTGAGGGTGGTGGTGGTGAGGCTGGTGGTGGTGATGGTGAGGGTGGTGAGGGTGGTGGTGGGGGGACCGGGCCTAGGCCCAGGCTGTGGGCCTAAGCTCAGGCTTGAGGCCTAAGTCCAGGCTGAGGACCTAGGCTCAGGCTTGGGGCCTAGGCTCAGGCTTGGGGCCTAGACTCAGGCTTGAGGCCTAGGCTCAGGCTTGAGGCCTAAGCTCAGGCTTGAGGCCTAGGCTCAGGCTTGAGGCCTAAGCTCAGGCTTGAGGCCTAGGCTCAGGCTTGAGGCCTAAGCTCAGGCTTGAGGCCTAAGCTCAGGCTTGAGGCCTGGGCTCAGGCTTGAGGCCTAAGCTCAGGCTTGAGGCCTAAGCTCAGGCTTGAGGCCTAGGCTCAGGCTTGAGGCCTAAGCTCAGGCTTGAGGCCTGGGCTCAGGCTTGAGGCCTAAGCTCAGGCTTGAGGCCTAAGCTCAGGCTTGAGGCCTAGGCTCAGGCTTGAGGCCTAAGCTCAGGCTTGAGGCCTAAGCTCAGGCTTGAGGCCTAAGCTCAGGCTTGAGGCCTAGGCTCAGGCTTGAGGCCTAAGCTCAGGCTTGAGGCCTAGGCTCAGGCTTGAGGCCTAAGCTCAGGCTTGAGGCCTAGGCTCAGGCTTGAGGCCTAAGCTCAGGCTTGAGGCCTGGGCTCAGGCTTGAGGCCTAAGCTCAGGCTTGAGGCCTAAGCTCAGGCTTGAGGCCTAGGCTCAGGCTTGAGGCCTAAGCTCAGGCTTGAGGCCTGGGCTCAGGCTTGAGGCCTAAGCTCAGGCTTGAGGCCTAAGCTCAGGCTTGAGGCCTAGGCTCAGGCTTGAGGCCTAAGCTCAGGCTTGAGGCCTAAGCTCAGGCTTGAGGCCTAAGCTCAGGCTTGAGGCCTAGGCTCAGGCTTGAGGCCTAAGCTCAGGCTTGAGGCCTAGGCTCAGGCTTGAGGCCTAGGCTCAGGCTTGAGGCCTAAGCTCAGGCTTGAGGCCTAGGCTCAGGCTTGAGGCCTAAGCTCAGGCTTGAGGCCTGGGCTCAGGCTTGAGGCCTAAGCTCAGGCTTGAGGCCTAGGCTCAGGCTTGAGGCCTAAGCTCAGGCTTGAGGCCTAGGCTCAGGCTTGGGGCCTAGGTCCAGGCTTGAGGCCTAGGCCCCAGGCTTGAGGCCTAGGCTCAGGCTTGAGGCCTAGGCTCAGGCTTGAGGCCTAGGCCCCAGGCTTGAGGCCTAGGCTCAGGCTTGAGGCCTAGGCTCAGGCTTGAGGCCTAGGCCCCAGGCTTGAGGCCTAGGCTCAGGCTTGGAAAGAGACGCGGCCACCGCAACTGAAGAGACACAGTCAGCTGTCTGTCTGTGTCTGTGTCGTCTGTGTCTGTGTTGTGGTGTGTGTCTGTGTGTGTCTCACTGTTTGTCTGTGTTGTGGTGTGTGTCTGTGTGTCTCACTGTGTGTATGTGTTGTCTGTGTGTCTTGTGGTGTGTCTGTGTGTCTGTGTGTGTTGTGGTGTGTGTCTGTGTTGTGTGTGTTGTGGTGTGTATCTGTGTTGTCTGTGTGTCTCACTGTTTGTCTTGTGGTGTGTGTCTGTGTGTGTTGTGGTGTGTGTCTGTGTTGTGTGTGTTGTGGTGTGTGTCTGTGTGTCTCACTGTGTCTGTGTCTGTCTCACTGTGTGTCTCACTGTGTGTTTGTCTCACTGTGTGTCTGTGTGTCTCACTATGTGTCTGTCTCACTGTGTGTCTGTCTGTCTCACTGTGTCTGTTTCTCACCACTGTGTGTCTGTGTGTCTCACTGTGTGTCTGTGTTTCTGTCTGTGTGTCTGTTTCTGTGTCTGTCTGTCTGTTTCTGTGTATCTGTCTGTCTGTGTGTCTGTGTATGTCTGTCTGTCTGTGTATGTGTCTGTGTCTCTCTGTCT